GCATCCCTGTGACTGCATGCTCTGCCCTGTGGGCTCCAAATGGGTTTGTGCAAAGCTTGTGGTGAATTCTCAGCAGAGATCAGCTCTTGGCTGCTCTGGGGAACCAAGCTGCCAAAGAGCTGCCCAAATATCTCCAGCCCTATGGTCAAGACCATCATTTCCCCCTGTATCACCTCCCATTAACAGCCATCTCTGTCTTGGCAGCTTCTCATTACGTATTCTGCATGGAGGGCCCCACATCAGCTTAATTAACAAGGTAAGAAAAACGGGACCTTTGAGGAAATCTTAATTATATTATCCATCTCACCCTGAGTGGCACCTGATCCATCCCAACACTGTTTTCAAGTTCATTAGCAATAAATCAAGATTGATTAGTCCTGGATGTGCAGCAAGAACACACCGGAGCAGAAGACTTCTGCTGCCATCGCTGTGAGACTCTGTGTGTGTACCCAAGCCCTGTCTTGTCCTCCAGCACCAGGCAGTGGGATGGTGACCAGGGCTACAGGATGAGGCAGAGAGAGACATGCCAGAGCTGGGATGTGGCTGTTGGAGCATCCCAGGAGTGGCTGTTTCACTGTGCCCCTGCCACACCCTGGAACCTCACTCTTCCCTGGGATGCTCTGACTTGGAGCAGCACCCAGGCACCCCTTCCAGGCTGCTGCACCCATCCAGGGATGAGGTAGCCACAGCTATTCTGGGCAACCTGTGCCAGAGCCTCACCACTCTCACTGGGAAGAATTTCTTCCTAATATCCAACCTAACCCTGTCTTCTGCCAGTTAAAAACCATTCCCCTTTGTGTTGTAACTTCATGCACTTGTTCAAAGTCACTCAGCTCCTTTAGGCACTGAAAGTGGCTCTAAGATCTCACCAGAACCTTCTCTTTTCCAGTTTTACCAACCCCAGATTCTTCAGCCTGTCTTCATTGCAGTGATGCTCCAGCCCTTGGAGCATCTCTGGGTTTGAGCTCTGGACTCACTCCAGCAGTTCCACAATCTTCTGATGTTGGGATCCCCAGAGCTTGAGGCAGCAGTGCAGGTGAGGTCCCTCCTGAGCAGAGCAGAGGGGGACAAACCCCCCTCCCTGCTGCCCTGGTACTGGGGAGGCAGCCCAGGGCAGAGTTGCTGGTTACTGGGCTGCCAGCACACCTTGCTCATATCAAGCTTCCCATCCAATGACTTGGGGTGGTTTGTAATCCTCCCTGTGCACCTGATGGGATGACAGGGTCCTAATTAGACCAAGTGTGCAATCCACTGGGGACAGGCATTCCAATTGAAGCTGGCTCCAACTCAGCAGAGCCAGTGGCAGGCACTGCCAGTCCTGTGCCCAGCACACCGTGTCCTCCCACCCCAGGGACAGCACAGGCTGCCTTCAGCACCCGTGTGAGTTTCAGGGTTGGAGGAATGGGGAGCATTCCCTGCATCACAACCACAATCAGTAGTGCTTCAGAGCTGGAGGTATTTACATCATCAAGCTAGGCTCAGTAATTACTCAGCCAAATTTGCATGCATTTTCTATGGGCATCTCTGCTGGCTTTTTTATTTTCTGCTTGAAAACCTTGCTGGAATCTGCAAACTGCCTCTGCCACTGGGAAGGGGCTGCTGGATTGTTCCTTTCTAAGAAGATGCTGAACATAACTCCTGATGCCAGTGACACATCGGCCCTCTTATTCAAAAAATTTCCACCAAATAAAGTGGCAAAAAATTTTTTTAGAGACAGGAGTTGTGTGGCCATTGCCTGCCCCTGTGCCCTGGTGCTGCTGCCTGCATCCTCCTGTCTGCTGCAGGGAACTGACTGATTCTTATTGGTGTTTTCTTTTTACTTTAATTGTTGTCTGGTTTTAATATTGCATGAATTGATTCATCTGCGTTTCATTGTCGGCACTGTTTGTTTTGGGGCAGTGCCTGGAATATCACTGGCAGATAAGTGCTGGACAAGTAGAAGGTATTTTTCTTGCTCGGCAAAAGATGAGGAGTGACCAAGCTGTGCCTCAGCTCGAGAGGATCCCGAGCAACCTCCAGTTCCAAGGGTCCTGGTGCAATACTCACCACCTCAAGTTCTCATCCGTGAGGACTGTCCTTCCTTGGATCCACCATGCAGATGCATTTTGCTGTATGCCCAGAGCTACCAAAGTCAAAACAGTGTCAGGGCTGCTCCTGATGCATCCCTGCTGCCTTGGGCACAGTCCTGCATGCCACTGGGACAAGCCATGGGCATTAGGTGGCACCAGACACTGCCAGAGCAGTACTTCAGAGTATTTCAGAGGCAGCCTGGAGAGATGCTTTGCTCGCACCATCACTGTCCTCATCAGGAAAAACACATAGAGCAGGGGACTAGGGGCAGGACAGCATCCTCCTGCCAGCCCTGGGAATATCTTTTTCACCCTTCTCCTCCACTTTATCCTGTGCTGGTGGGTCTCAGAAAGATGGGGCCATGGTTGGGGCTCTGCCTGAATGCAGTTAGTTGTGTTTCTGCTTTCTTCTGTGCCTCCTTTCTTCCACGCAGAGGAGCTGGAGGGAGCCAGAGCATCCTCAGGAGCACAGCAAGGGGCAGCTGGCCTTTGGAGCAGCATCTGGGGGGGAACCCTGCCTTTTCCAGTGGGTCTGGGATCCCCAGCACTGCTCTGTGCACCCCAGCTGCATGACAAGATAAATCTCCACCAACTTACTGCATGAGCCCAGCTGGAGCCTGGAGAAGACATTTCTCCCTGTGTAACTCCCAGGCTCTGGAGAGAAGCTCAGCGTCTCCCTCTAACGATGTGCAGACACCTGCAGCCGTGATCTGTGGTTTGGGTTTCTGGTTCCCTCTCCACCCCACAGCTCCCTGTGCCTCCCCACCGCTCCCACTGCCCCCGGCTCCCCACCAGGACAGAAACAAACCTCTCTGTGAAAAAGATGGGATTTTTCCTGGCTTCTTTTTCCTTTTCTTAAAACTCAATAAATTCTCCCAGCTCCCAGCTCTGTTGCTCGTGAGTGAGGTGAGGTGAGAAGAGCAAATTTTGTTGCATATTTGAAAAGGTCAGTATGGAAACAGAGGAAATTCTAATTCCTGTGTCCTGGGGTACTGGGGGCTACACACAGCACAGCCCTGGAGCTGCTTCCCTGCAGACCAAGCTGAGGGTCACAGACCCCTGACCCACAGGCAGAGAGGGAAGATCTTCAGCATAGCATGGAGGGATTTAAGGCTGTAGACATCTCCTGAGGATATCCAGGAAGGACTGGAGGGACCAAACTCACAGGGCAGGTTCAGGTGTGGGAAGAGTCAGAAGAGCAGTGAATTAAAATAACAGTCTATAATTTATTATCAGCAGAGCAGTGATGCCTTAAGTTTTAGCTTTCATAATTTCCAGATTCTATACTGCATTGGTATATAACTCTGAACTTCATATAAAGTGGTAGCAAGTTCTCTTCACAGTGTAGTTAGACAAAACAATCCTTTTCCAGCCCAGGAACCAAGGACACCATTGCAGCTTCAGGCCCAAAAAGGATGAATAACAGCGAATTGAGAAGAGCAGTCTGGGAGGATGTAACTTCATAACCTGAAGCTGTGATTGGAAATGGACCAAAACTTATAAAAGTGTGAAACTCATGACTGGTCATCCATCTTGGGTGAAGCCACGGCTGGGCTCTTGTACTGCCCAAGGTGTATCTTTGAAGGCCTTTTAAAATAAATACCTACTTTTTTATTTTAACACTGTCTAGCCTCTGTTCTAGGTAGCCTCTCAAGGCATCAGAAGCAGGCAGGAGGGTGCCTGGCTGGGGGCACTGTGACCTGCCTCCACATCCCAATGCCCCAGGGGTTTTTTGGACCCCCATGACCCACAGCCCTTCCCTCATCACTTGAGGGGGAATGTGGGGAGGTGGCAGCATCCACCCCGGCCAAAAATCCCAATTTACACATAGGTTTTCCTTATCTGCCCACAAGGGCAGTCTGTAGCTCTGTATGGAAGAGTTTGGGAGGCGGAGATGTAACAGCAAGCACTTTCACTGGGGAGTGATGGTGAAGGTCATCAGGAAGGTGCCTGGCTTTGGTGGCACCATTGCCAGCTCTTGGGCAGGAGGTCAGGACAAGAACCTGCCAATGCCTGGATGAGCAGAGCTCTGCAGAGCTGGTGGGAGCACAGAGCAGAGCAGGACCAGGCATGGGGGCTGGGGAGGACCTGGCACCCAGTAATCCCCCAGCCCCACCCTGGGCAGCACCCATCACCACCCAGCAGCACCCCTGCCTGCTCCCCCCAGCCTCTGCACGGGCTCCCCCGTCTGCCTGTGGATGAAGGATGAGCTCCTGGCACAGCTTCCTCCAGGACATGGCACCTTCTCAGTACATCCACCCTGCTTTTACTCCCAGATTTTCCAGCTCTGATGACTCAGCTCCCTTTTTAACTCACCAAGTGGAGCTGGGTGCTGGAGTCCTGGCCCTGCTTTGAATTTTTTGGCTGGTTGTATCATCTTATTTGCTACTGATAACGTCACCTCCCCGGACACTGGAAGACAGCCCAGTCTGATGAGGAAACCAAAGCTCCCTAAATAATCTCTGAGGCATGGACACGAGTTGCCGGGTGCTGGGATGTTGCCCAAGTGCATAATGCTTCAGTGTCCTGCACATGGCTCCGAGCTGTCCCTGGAATCACTGCATTCCCTTTCTCCACAGTGCTGAGCCCTGCCTTTTGTCATCTCCTTTTTTCCATCTCTTTCCCTGTGAACCATCAGGCTCAGGTGGGTGGAAGTTCTTCATCTGTCCCAGCAGCTGGTTTGCTGATTTTCCTCCAGCCAAGAGCCACGTCTGCTGGAAGAAACGTTCCATCCCTGCACAGGAATGTGTTCTTTTAAAATTCCTTTAAAAGAAAGAGAAGGAAGAAGCGGGAGAGGAGCCCTGGAGTGTCTGGGAAGCTGTCTCTTCTTATTCCAAGTGTGTGGCTCAGGTCTCGTATCGGCGGTGCACAGCCCGTCCCAGCGGAGCTCGGTTCACAGTGTTGGTGCAATCTGCCAAACAGACGGATCAGCTAGGAGACATTTCCAAAAGAAGCTGGAACAAGGTGGGAGAGGAAGGAATAAACAGCCTGCAGGGCAGCACATCGCACTTCACCCACTGCTAGCCCCGGAGAACGTCTTCCCTTCCGTGCAAAAGGCCACTGACAGATTTTGGGCTGCGCGTGGCAGCCTGGCCCTGTGCATCACAACTCACCCCTGTGCTCCCTAAACAACCCCACAGCCCATCCCTGTGTGCCCCAGCCCAGCCCCAGAGCCTCCCCCTGCCCCCTTGGCCCTACCTTGGCTGAGCAGCTGCAGGTTCCGGACCTCCTCTCGCACCTGGAGCTGCAGGACCTGCTGCAGGACCTCCTGGCGCTGCGTCTCCAGCACGATCCCCATGCGCTGCAGCTTCTCCCCGTTCAGCCGCAGCAGCGCCCGGCCTGCAAACACGGAACCGCTCGCTGCCCGACCAGCCCCGTGCAGCGGGAGGGTGACTCCAGGAAAGGGCAACACAAAGGGGAGCCCATCAGCAGGGAGGAATGAGGAGGGAGTGCTCTCTCACTGCCTGGAGCAGTGCGTGGAGTGGCAGGATGAGGAGGAATGACTGGCAGAGGAAAGGGTTAAACTGGATATTGGGAAGAAACTAATCCCTGTGAGGGTGGTGAGGCCCTGGTACAGGTATCCAGAGAAGCTGTGGCTGCCCCATCCCTGGAAGTGCTCAAGACCAGGCTGGACAAGGCTTAGAGAAACCTGGTCTAGGAGAAGGTGTCCCTATCCCTGTCCCTGGCAAGGGGGTGGAACAAGATGGGCTGTAAGGTCCCTTCCAACCCAAGCCATTCTGGTTTGTGACCTCCCTTTCAGAGAGCACCGGGTGGCAGCTCATGTCCCCAGCCTCTGACAGGTACCGGCACCGCAATCATGTAACCCATCCCCGCAGGCAGCAGCTTTCCATTTCTCCGCTCCACCTCCCACATGAGGAGATGTTTTCTGAGCGCAGGGGCCCCACGCGGGCCGGTTGTCCTGGGGGAATGGGGGTGCCCATCACAACGCATTAGCGCTCCAGTCCCCACCGAGCCACTTCCCTCCAGTCTGGGGCTGTTAGAGGAGGGATTTTAAACCAGCTTTTGTCCTTGCTTCCCAGCGTACACTCGCTAATGCTGCCTTTGTTGCCAGAGCGAGGGCTGGCTGAGCTCTTGCATTAGGATTTTGCATCCCCCCCAGGCAGCTCCTGCCCTCACTTCCCTGCCACTGTCCCCTGGCCCTGGCCGAGCTCAGTCTGGCCTTGCAAATATTGAAGTTGGACTGGAATGATGCTCTTACACAGAGGTCAAAGCCACTGTCCCCAGGGAGCAAAGGGGAGGGAGCAGATCCTAGAGGTGAGTCTCCTTGAAAGGCTTGATTGGGAGTTGGATTTAGACCTGGACAAAGATCTTTGAAACTTGGACTCCAACTGGGCAGAGATTTTTTCTCTTCTGCAAAATTTCTCATTATTTAAAAACTTTAAAAATATTATTATTATTATATTCATCTAGGTGATGAGAAGACTCTAGGTGGTGAGAAGACTCTTCCCTGTCTTAGAAAACAATATAATAATTTCTAAGAACCTCCAGCCTGTCCTGGAGCTCACTCTGGTGGCAGATGCCTCCTGCCCACCTAGGTCAGTGTTGCCGTGTTCCCTGCTCTCACCCTGGCTGCATGTCGTGGGTAGAGGGGACAAAAATGGGGGCCATGCCCATTTTCTGAACCACCAATGTGCAAACAGCCTTTCCCAGGAGCACGTGCTAGTGGCAAATAGTCCAGAGGGCACGCTGTACCTGTGATGGCGTGGTGGGAGAACGCCTCAACATAGATGAGATAGTTGTGTGGGCAGTGCTTCTTCAGCCATTTGCACACATCCTGCTGGGTCCACAGCACCACTGGTTTGACCAGGCTGCCCAGCGTGGGGCTGGTGTGGTAGATGCCATAGTGGTCACAGCCACGGACCTGAGGGGAGGGAGAGGGGACAGTGTTAGTGGGATTCAACCCTGCGAGGGGAAAATAGAAATCAGTCCGTGGGGATGGGGGAGAAGCTGGTTGGCTGCATAGGATTGGGGTGATGCTGGCAGACTTTGGCTCTACACCCTTAGTGTCCCTGGGCTCACCCTGAAACCAGAGGAACCAGTAAGGGAGGCAGGGAGAGCAGGGATGAGAGGTTGAGCTGGTTGTTCTGCTGCATATAGACCCAACACTTTAAACTTCCCAGCCCTTCTGCTGCAGTCAAGAGACCCAGCTTCCTTACCCTACACATCTCTCAGCCCAGCAGAGCATTGCAGAGGCTCAGGAAATGTCTTGGAGGGGTCCTCAGGGTCCCCACCTCACCAGGCAGAGATGGGCATTTGCTGGAAGCTCCCAGTGGGGATGAAGCCAGTGAGATCCTGGAGGATGGTGGCAACTGGTACAAAGCCATCCCCACCAGAAGTCCCCAGGAAAGCAGCCAGCAGCCAGCTGGTGCCCTGGAGTAGGAAGGACTCTCCCTTTCTCTCCCTCTCAACCCCCTTCTACCCTGAGCTGACTGGTCCTGCAGCCTTTCAGGTGTCTAAGGCCACCTCTGAATTCTACAGCCTGTTCTTGGGGTGCTGCTATGCTCAGAGACACCCAGGATGAAGCAGGGTCACAGTCCCCAGCACTCACTGTGCCCTGGTCACCTTCCACCTTCTGCTGAGCTATGCCATGCACAGTTATGCCCACAGGGAGACGGGACTTACCTGACAGCATCCCTCCATCCCACCTTCCCTCCCTCCAGCTGTCTGCTGCAGCGGCCAGTCTCACTCTGAGCCACCCAGTCTCAGCCTGAACCACTTGGCAGCTCCATTTTCTCTCCCCCATCACAGCTACGCTGGCCTTGCAAGGTTGTTGCAGCCTGGACTTATCTCACACAGAGCACATCACACATCTTGAGCTGTGACTGCACTGGGGAGCAAACCTGCTTCTCCTAGGGAATCTTCCAGGTTGGCTGGGAAATGGGGCTGGAGGATACAGGAATCTCCCTTTCCCTGCTTTTAGCACCCAGGAGAGATTGGTGAGCTCTCCACTGTTGCTGATGCTGAGATTTCATCCTTCAGCAGCACCAGCAAACAACACTGCTCCAAAGCATCCACTTGTGCCCAAGCTGCTGGGACTGTCCCAGGCTGGATCACAGGCAAATTGGGGTGGGAAAGGCACCCCTGCTTCCCACAACACAGGGGGACTAGATTGCCAGGGCTCACCCATGCCCTGGATACTGCAGGGTCAGAGCAGAAATAGCAGCTGATGCTCAACACACCGGCATGGGAAAGGTCTACAGCGTGTGGCCCGTGGTGTGCCAACATCGACCTCTGCGTGTGAACGCTGGCTAATTAAGCATGTCTAATAGAGGAGCAGGGATAATTAGTGTAAGAGGGACTCCAAACATGCCGCAGTTACTGAAACTAATGACACATTCCTGAGAGATGCTGCAGAGGAGGCAGTGGAGGGCAGCTGGGCTGGGTGTGCTCCCTGCCCCGTGCCAGGCATTGCCACAGAGCCTGGTGGGGCTGCTGACTGTGCCCAGGGGAGCGTTTGAGCTTGGAAAGGAACTGTTCCTCAAGCGGAGCTCGTTGGGAACATTCAAGCAAGAGGGAAGAAGGTGAAGTTGGGAGGCTGTACATTAATAAGTAAGGAGTCCGTCTCCAAAGCAGATGGAAAATCCAATAGACAGTGCACAGGATGCAGTTTCCAAACCAAACCCTCACCTTTGGGGGAGAGCCCGGCAGCTGCCCGGCTCCACCAGACGCATCCCAGGAGCCGCCCGCCTGCGGGAGCGGCCCCAGCCCACGCCGGCTGCGCGGCTCCTTCACACTTGGCTGAGCGCGCCCGAGAGTGTGCCGTGGGGAGGAGGAGGAGGAGGAGGCGATTTGCTCTGGATTCACTAACGAGTGATGATGAGAAGCGGAGGGGCTGGGGGGAATAACAACCAGCTTCCCGGGAGCTTCCCGCGAGCTTCCCACAGCTATTATCCAACTAACCCTCCGAGGCACCGGGGAAGAGGTGACAACTGGCAATTTCCCTGGGCACGCACACGGCTGCACGCACATCGCTCATCAGACACAGCCCTGCACCGGGAATCATCCCAGCATCCCTAAACCCTGCTCTGCCTGCTCGGTGCGCATCCCCCGCTGCCCATGGAGGGTCCCCAAGTGAGCCCCTGCGCTCCCCAGAGGGGCAGGGGAGGTGTAAGGGATCATGGGCTTGTTTTCCAGCCGGCTGAGCTGCGCTGTCTCTCTGATAAACTCTCAGCCGTGAATATCGAGCGCCGGTGTGGAGGAGAGCAGGCAGGAAGGCTGGGAGGCTGCTCTGGCAGGAAGGCAGGAGGTGGCTGGGGGAACCAGGGGGTGGGAGCCATCCCTGGGCACTGCAAGGACCAACTTGCATCACCTCCCTTCGCTCTGGCATTTTTCTTTGCTTACAGCAAATTGAGAACCTTTCACTATATCTTTCTGGGCAGCACATAGAGGTGGAGGAGGGAGAACCATGATAAGCCACAGCTGGCAGGTGGAGAGCAGCTGGTGTGTCCCCATGCAGGAGCCACGTGGAGGTGATGGGACAGTGCCACCAGCACATGGGACATTGTCTCCCCTGGAGCTGCTGCTCCTGAGAGCATCACAGCCATGCCCATCCCTGTGCGGTCCCTGCTCCCTTCTGAAGCCAGACCTTGTGATACAAAAGCATCTCCGTGTTGGCAGCTGGAAGCCAGGCAGTTGGATTTTCCCCGTTTTCTTTCCAGCATTCACTGTCTGGATGTGCCACCTCCGAACCCAACTCCCAGAGTGTGAAGGAGGGGCTGGAACCACCTGCAGGGATGATATTCCTTCCTGTGTCTGTGCAGCAGTGAATGGATGGAAACCTTTGGCTCACAGCCTCCATAGTAGAATAAAGCTTCAAATTTTAGGAGGACAATGGTCCAAACCTGGCTAAGAGACACACACAAGCGCTCAGCGATTTTAAGGCATTATAAGGAATTTGGTCCTGGCATACTGGATGCAAAATGGTATTAAGTCCCAGCTCCAGGTGGGAGGGCAGAGAGGGGAGATGGCACAGAGAGCTCACCCCAGCACAGCCCGAGGCCCAATGAAAACACATTATGATGCTTATATATGTTACTATAACTAAACACCCAATAATCATGAGGACTTTCAGCAAAACAAGATCTGAAGGCCTGATCCTGCAGGGAAAGAGGAGTTGCTCCTGCGGGGTGCCCACGGTCTGGCAGACACAAGGAGCTGAGTTCCCCTCGGCATGCCCGGGGTGGGGTGTGGGGGTACCTGCGAGCCCTCGGTGCCCGGCTGCCGCAGGAGTTTGACGGTGCGGCCGCCGTCGGGGCGCTGGCTGCGGCCGTCGTGCCAGGTGAGGCTGCTGCCCGGGTTGCGCTGCAGGCGGTAGCTGAGGTTTTCGGCCGACACCGTGTGCTCCAGGAGGCTGCGGCAGAAGCTGAAGTGAGCAGAGGCGGCAGCGGCAGCTGCAGAGGGAAGGGGGGTGAGAGACGGCCGTGGTGCCCATCCACCCTGTGCCTGGGCACCCAGAAGTGCCTTTTCTACCCCACAGGACCAGCTGAACTCAGGCTGTGGGCCCCTCTCTCCAAAAACTCCCTGTTTCTGCCTTCCTTTCCTGTTGGCAAGAAGAAAATCCACGAGCCTAGGAACTGCCAGCTGGCGCTGGGATCCAGCAGGCACCCGACAAGATGTTTGCCCACACAAACCCCTCACGAGCGACGTTTGTTTTGACACCCGCCAGCCGAGCAGACGCGGGACCCGCAGCTGATCCCCAACATGTGGTGAGAACCTCCTGCTTGTCACTGCCACTCTGCTGGGACAGGAACCGGCAGGAGGCCCAGGGAAGCTGCTTCCCATGGCCCAGGCTGACAGCAAACTGCCGCCACTGAGGAAAGGGGAGCAGAGAAACCCCCCCCGGGCAGCCTGGTGGAGAAGGGAATGCAGGCTGGTCCCCCAGAACAGACCATGGGTGCCTGGGGACAGTTACTGTGCACTCCAGTGATGGCTGGACCCACACCAGCTCCTCCATAATGACCACAAAGAGACATTTACCCACAACGAGTGCTTCTTGTCCCTTATTCATAGAATCATAGGATATCCTGAGGTGGAAGGGACCCGCGAAAGTCATTGAAGTCCAATTCCTTGTGTGTTAACAAACTGGGAGTGCTGGGTCTGCAACGAGGTTGCAAAGCTTTCCTTTAAGAGGGCTGAAGGGACCCAGCTGCCATGGGAGGAGGGTGAGTGGGTATTAGGGGCTCACGCTCTGTCTGCTCCGGATAAAAGCCAGACAGCTTGACATAAGCAGCTCTGATCTGCGGAAGCAAAGACCGGAGCATCCCCCAGCTCACCTGCTCCCACCACGGGGAGCCAGGCAAGTCATGAACCACCTCCAAGAGCAGAGCAGCACCCAAATGAGATCCACTTCCAGGACAAACCACCCTGGGAAAACAGGAGGGCTGGAGAAATCCTGGTGCAGCTCATTTTCCTAAGTAGTGGGTTTTAAGAGGGAATAGGTTTCAAAGAGACCACTCAAGTACACCTTTATGCAATAGAACAACTGGCCAAAAAAAGACAAAATAGAGCAGAAAAGGGTTGTCCAAGGATACCCAGAGCACATCACATAGTGCTGTTTCTTAAACACACCCAGCAGGAAACATTGCCATGGGGAAACTGAGGTAGGGGACCTGTCTAATGGCTGGGGAAGTGATCTGGGAGAAAGTGAGTCAGAGGGAGATCCATGGATTGGCTCAGTGGGGAGCAGAGGCAGGACTGGTAGGTGTGGTCTCTGCACCTGTCCTGGGAGATGGGGATGTCTCTGATCCAGCAGTCTCAGACACCCTGAGCCCATTGTGTGAGGACCAGAGCAGGCTGTGCTCCCTCCAGCCAAGGATGTCTGAGATGCCACTGTCCCATCCCTGGCATCTCAAGCACTGTAGCTGTGCTGGGATACCTCTGAGCTGGAAACTGCCCATCCCACTGGGTGCTGTGGCAGATGTAAACCTGTCAGGTCTGGAGTTTTGTCCTTCAGCTGTGCCAGGGCTTCCACAGGACTTGCTACAGGGTGTAGAGGGAAGGGGGCTCTGGCCATCAGTAGGACCCATATCCATGAGGAGCTGAGGAGCATCTGCTTCCAGCAGCAGGACATGGGCATCTCTGCTCCTGCAGCAATCACTGCTGGAGGCAACACCAGGAGCAGGAGCAGATGGGGAAGAGGGGTGAAGGGAAGAAAAGCAGATCTGGGAGCAGAGCCTGCCCCCTTGGAGCAGGCAGTGGCTCCCTGCAGCCCCGAGCTCCAGCAGCTCGTCCACAGTCTCAGTTTCCCCAGCCCAGCTCTTGGGTCCCAACTTTCCAATCACCTGGCAGCGCTCGACATGGGATGGTAGGGAGGGCGCTGAGGGGGGCATGTGGGAGCGTTTTGGAGCAAGGAGGGGATGGGAGCAGAGGAGCCCCGTGTCAGGACAGCCCTGGGCAGGGACACGGGAGTGACATCCAACCTTTCAGTGCCCTGCACACGGAGTAGCCACAGCATCCCCAGGAGCAACCAGCCACCCTCCATCCCCTCCACCCCTCTCTGCTAAGCCTGTGCCCTCCGGCCAGGAATGCACAAGCAGTATCTCCCCCCAGGCCCGCTGGCCCCACAGCCCCCCGGCCATGCCCTGAAGACCCCTCACCTGACTCGGGTGGTCCCTGCGAGCTGCGGATGGTGGAGACGCAGCAGAGGGATGGCCGGCCCTGCTGCATCTCGGCGGGAGGAGGGATGCGCGTGAGCGCTCGGCACCGCTGTCACGAGTGCGGCTCCATCCCTGCCTCCCCTCATACCTCGTCCACACCTGACTGATTCCCCCGAACGCCTCCCTCCCACTGCCTCTGAGCACCGGCTGCACGCTCATCCCAGCTCCGGGCGGCCCCGAGCCGGTCTCACATGGAGAGGGGGGTGAATTCCACCCCCTCCCCGCTGCCCCGTGGGCGTTTGATCCGGAGAGATGCTCGGTGCTTTCCTCTCGTGCTCCCGCCTAATCCCGCGGCAGGGCCAGCTGGCAGCGGCAGGGCCAGGGAGCCTAGCGGGGGCTGCTGCAGGGGACACCGCACCCACCGGGCATCCGAGTGCCCCGGGGACAAGTGGAGAAGTGGCACGAGTGTGGCAGCACCGGGGTCACCGTGGGCTTAGGGCGCTCGGGTGCAGGAGGAAAAGCGGAGAAGGAGCGTGGTGATGAACAGCCTTAGCAGGAAGGGGCCGCAGGGCTCAGTGTGGGCTGCTCCTGCTCCCGGCCAAAGCTCTCATGGTGGTGTTGGGGTCCGGGCAGAAGTGGGGTTTCCAAGGAGCAGAGACTGTGCTGAATCCTGAAACGGGAATGCAGGGACCTCCAGGGTGGCTGAGCCCGAGCTGGAGTGGGGAAGGGAGAGCTCAGCTCAGCTCCCCAAACAGCCACCGTGACCCCACTATTCCACTGCCAGCTGGTCTACGGTCCCTGTGCCCCGTCTGCCTGCCCTCTGTGAGTGACACCCCACTGCCTGCTTGCCACCGGGGAATAGCTGCCGGCTTGTTTCCATGGCTCTTTGATCCATTTTGGGCATCTCTCCAGCCACGCAGGAGGGAGAGGCCAGGTCCGGGTCACCGCAGGGAGGGCAGCAGCGGTGGGACAGGGTCTGCAGCAGTGGCAGGGACACTCCCTCCCCTCATCAGGCACAACGCTGCTCCCGCTCCCGTTCCCTCTCCTGACACTTTTATGGCTGGTGAAACGTGAGCACTGGAGAGGCTCAGAGCAACAGCAGCTGCTGCTGGGGAGAGGGACGGGAAACCTCCCGGGGCTGGGCACCTCGGGGCAGGATGTGGCAGCATTCCCCGGCCAAAGCATTTCCATGTGGGTGTCGAGCTGGCTCCGGCTGATCACTACCAACAAACCGGCTGCCAGGGGACTTTCCGCGGATGCTTCCTGCTCGCAGGTGACCAGGATCTGCCCGGGGGACACGGTGGAAGGCAGCCAAGCTGCAGGAGGAGCAGGCAGGGGCACAGCAAGGGGAGCCAAATGCCTGGACAGGCAAAGACTGCCTGACTCCTGCTCTGTCCTCTGCCACCACTTCTCAGCATGGCCTCAGGAACATCCCTGTGTCTTTGATGCCATCGTGTGAGTGGCTGTCCCACAGACCTGCCCTCCAGATGGGGCCATGTCTGCCGGCAGCTGCAGTGGGGGCAGTCAGGCTTCCCGGGGTCAGACAGGCTTCCCGGGATTAATGGGAGAAGCTTGAAACAAGCTTTCACAAGGAATGAAATTGCTTTGTTGGTTTGCCTGGGTACCCGTGTGTAATGACCCTTGGGGGTGGGTCGTCACCAGGGTTGTCACACCACGTTTGGGAGGAAGACATTTAGCACCAAATACAACGAGGGATTTGCTTATAATGGGAGGTAGATTTACGGAGCTGGTCATCTCTCTTGTGTTCCTGCAGGCAGGTGAAGATGGGACCAGAAGTCTCTGAGTACTCCCAGTGAATTTGCTCAATTCAGGGAGCAGTTTTGTGAAGAACTCGTCCTGCTGTTAGTGGTGTCTGCATGAGCCATGAGCTCAGCTGGCACTGCCATTGCCCTGGTCCCCTCTGTCCCTTCCATGTGGCTTCACCCTGGTGTGGGGCAGAGCTGTTGCTTATGCTGGTGGAGCCTCCAGGGATGATCATCCCAGTGATGCTCTCTGGGATCCCCCAACACATCCCTTCTTTGAAGCTCTGCCTACAGGATGGACCAGGTCCTGCCCTGAGCTATTCCCTCAGGGTCTGAGGGAAGATGGAACCAGACTCAAAGAGGACTGACACCCCCTCCAGCCTCTTCAGATTCCCCTGGAGTGTGCTTGGCTCAGGCCCTGGGTGCAATGAGTGTCACCCCAGTGCTTCCCTCTGAATTCTCCACTTGCAGAGATGAGATGGGAGCCCCGCACAGGGATGGAGCTCAGGCTGCTGGTGGCTGCCCACTGCTGGTGCCTCCCGAGGACAGAGGAGGAAGGGAACAAAAGGCAGATGTCCTTTCCGTCCTCCCTGTGCAGCACGATGGGTGCCGTGAGCACACGATGAGGGAGTGGGCACAGTGTTTGGGGGGAATGTGCATGCCTTTGGGATATCTGTGATCCTGAGACTCCCATGGGTACTGCCAGGAGGTCCCTGAGCACCCCAGGACTTCCGTAGGGTTGGACAGTGTGAGAGTGTGGGGTGAGGGCAGTGGACAGGACTCCAGGTAGCTCTGGGCAGGTCCTCCTGGCAGGAGGCAGGTGTGGGAGCCCACAGGCATGGACACCCCTGCCTTCAGTGAGCCCCCTTCCACCTTGACATGCTCTTCCCAGGGGTCCTGTCCTGCTCGAGCACCCCAGGCCTGCCTACCCTGTCCTCACACCTGCCTCCCTTTGCTCTAGCCAAATTTTCCAGCCCATTTCATTGGTACACCACAATACCAAGGGTAGGGCACGGGGACAGACTCCCCAGAATGGGGGAGTAAAGGGGAATGTGGAGAGACTGACTCCTTGGATGGAGAGGACAACACTGGGGATCGAGGGCAGGCAGAACCCTAGAATGGAGGGGACAGCACCGGGGGAGGGATGAAGAACAGACCCCCGGCATGGAGGGGGCAGCTCCGGGGGATGGAGGACGGACAGACCCCCAGGATGGAGGGGACAGCATCGAGGAGAGATGGAGGGCAGCCCCTCGGATGGAGCGGATCCCCAGGTCCGCGGCTGGGGGAAGCGCGTCCCGCCCCTGAGCACCTGAGCCCCCCCGCCCGCGCCCGGTACCTTCCATGTCCTTGGGCCGGCCGCAGCTCATCCTCCGGCAGCGGCGCCGCGCTCGGGCGGGGACGGAGCCCCGCGCCCCCCGCGCCGCCGCCGGCACCGGGCGCTCCCGCCCGCCCCGCCCCGGTGTCCGCGCCGGGGGCGGCGCCGCCATCCGCCACCCCCGGGGGCTCCGCCCGCCGCCGGCCCCGCGCTGCCGCCCGCGCAGCATCCCCGAGCATCCCCCGATCCCTGCCGGGGCTGCGGGCATCACCCCCCAGTCCCTGCCCGGGGCATCATCCCCGCTGTCTCTCTCCAGCTGCGGGAGCAGGTCCTTGGGGACACCGGGGTGCAGTGGGCATCATCGACGGGTTTTTGGGCATGTTTGCAGTGGGCACAGAGCGGAAAACACCTGGGTGTTCCCAAAATTTGCTCCCCAAATGTCTCTCCTCCCCACGACCTCCAGCTCCCTGGATGGGTGATAGGGGGCAGGCAGAGGAGGGTGCTCACCCCCGTGGGGGCTGCATGGGCTCCGGTGGGTGGTCTCAGCATGAGTGGGTACCCACCAAACCTCACTGCTGCTTGGCACGCCAGCATTGAGCAAAACGGTGTCACCAGCACCTGTCACTACCCCGAGGTGACAATCCCACAGGTATTTTTGTAGGTGCCTGCATTCAGCTGTCACACCTGACCCAGACAGGGACTGTCACTGCCAGCCCCTGCAGCCACCAAGGGACTGAGATCTGGCTGTGCACGCTATGTTCATCCTGCACTGGGCTGGGAGACAGGTGGGAGCACCTCTGGCTGCCCAGGACAAGGACAGGCAGGTGCCTGTGCTGTAATACTCCACCTTTGCAAGGGTTCCCTGTCACAGACCCACTGCAGCACAGGGCAGCACCCTCACCCTCGTTTTAAGAGGAAGAACACTCAGCTTAAGCACACTGTGTGCTGATCACTGCCCTGCTGGCTGGGAAGGTGCAGCAGGTGGCAGTGACCTTGCACAGCCTTGTGCAGGGTTTGTGTGGCTGTTCACTGGCCTTGCATAGCTACAGCATAAAACCCTCTTGGATCTGGGCTGTGCAGCTGTGTGTGTGAGAGCGTAGCACTTGCCAAGACTAAATTCAGCTCCCCGAATCAATAGGAGCTTTCCAAAATTTTGGATGCTCAATCAGGAGCTGCTCTGGATGAGGCTCAAGCCCCTGACAAGGCTGGATGCTGGCTCAGCTCTGCACTGGGAGCTGGCCAGGGCTGACACATTCAGTGAGCCAAGCATGCTGCCGGGCAGGGAGCGGGGACATCGAGTCACAAACCATGTGAGTAGTGGGGACATCAGGCCCCAAACTCTGTATGTAGACTGCAAAGGGTCTACTGCTAAAAGATCCCTCGAGAATTCCTGGGGGGAGCTGGCATTCTTCCTTCTGCTTCAAGAGAGTGGGCAGGGCAATGTTGCTTGTTGCAGGCAGATAAAGAAAGAACGTGTTATCCATCCCTTTGAATTACCCATTTCTCCCTCAGCCTTTGTCTACACACAGTTTTGAGCCATGGCAGAAATTTTCAGAGAGAAAAACAGTTAAAGTGGGGCCCTGGCAGGAAAAGGCTGATGTCGCTTGAGAAATGTGTGCAGATTACACCAAGCTGTTATTAAAAATAAGCGCTGTGCTGTTCCCAGCCTTTGCTTTCCATGATTTTTCTGGTAGTAATTCCACTTCTTTCCTTCTGCAAAGGGTTCACGTGTCCAGGGGATGGAATTTGTTTCCTCCTCATCTGCAAATGAGCCTGGTGCCAGCCCAGCATCCCAATGGTCTGGGGATACTGTGGTGGAATTTGGGTGCCTGGGGAAGTTCAGACTGCTTGTCCATCTGAAATTCCAAAGGATTTTCTGAAAAACCTTGAGCCTGAGGCTGCGTAGGGAGGGTTGGGGAGGTGGTGTGGTCCCATGCATCCCCACACCTGCTCCATGGTCCAGCCATCCTTGGTTTTACAGCATCCAGCATCACTCTTGGGCTGTCACTCAATCCCTCCCATGGTGGAGCATCTTTTAAACAGCCCCAGCAACTCTGTCTTGGGTTTTGGTCTGACTTTGGGTCTTTTAATATCTGGTTGAGGACCTTACCACAGCTAAACAGAAGATAAAGAGCAGGGAGGGAAAGCCCTAAACCGAGACACAGCTTAGGACACTCCAAGCACGAGCCAGGGCTCCTTTTCCCAAGGCAGTGGTGATGTGGGAAGGGGACAAGCTGGTGACAGTGGCTCCAGTGAACTCTAGACCAACAGGCTTCCCCTCTACATGCATATGGATGCGGGTAGGGAGGGCACCAGTGCTCCCGTGGGTGCCATCCCTCCCCAACACCGGGCTCTGGGGAGGGTTCGAGGCTGGGATGATTCAGCACGTTCGTTTTTCAGAGAATAAAGGAAGTAATTAAACATCAGCTTTCCTCCCGCCGCGCCCTGCGAGGATGAGAGGGAGGAGATGAAAAGCCTTTAGACGGAAGTTATTTGTCCAAGGAGAAAAGTGGCTAATTTCTCTGGTGCTTTGCTTGTCTGCTCGTTAACAAAAAACACTCGTCAGCAGGAAAAGAGAGCACCCATCGAGGGGGAGGAAGCAGAATCACACATCTAGCAGTGTCCAGGCACGTGGTCTTGGTGGCCTTGGGACTTCTTGCCCTGTTGGATGTCACCTCCACAAAGCCCCCCATGGCACCCAAGCACAGGCCTGGGGGCTGTGAATGCAGCTGGGCATTGGGGAACCTCCCTCACTGCATCCCTGTGGCTTGGGAACACACACTCCCAAGCTAAACACCATGGAAGGGTTTTCCCAAATCCCAACCCTCCCCCCTCCCCATCCCGATTTTTTTGTGCAAAGGCTTCAAAATGAATTTGTTGAGGCACTTGCAGGGAGATGAAATAAAAAACAGCTTCGTGCTGAAGCCTCCTGCCTGCTGCGGGCTGATGGATGGTGCTTATCTCAACCAGGCATGGAAATATTTAGTGTTACGAAAATCTCTCCCTGAAAAGAATTTTTTTTCATGCTGATAATAAAAGAACCAAAGCTCAGTGCTGCAGGGCGGGGGTGCTGCAGGTCACATCAGAGCTCTGGTTTACGGAGCCCAGGAGGTACCTGTACTGTCCTCTGGCCCCTGGCTGGGCAGGTGACCCTCTTGTCGCTCACAGCGTGACATCTGCACCTTCCCAAGGTTCATGATTTACTGGCAGAGGACATCCAAGGCATTGCTCCCTCTCTGTGGCTCTCTGGGACACAGAGAGGGGTTGAAACGATGGAAGCTCTTCCATGTGGAGGTTTATATAGATATATTTCTAATTGGATTTTGGCACGTCACGGTTATTTTCAAGGCAGCCTGTAATTATTTGAGAGCCTGATCACCTCCTTTCCCTCAGAACAGAGGGCTGGATTTTTTCTTTTTAATATTGTTTCCCCAAGTGAAATTGTGAATTTGCAACTTAATCCAATGAGAATCCAAATGATGTAGCTGCAAGGACACGCGGCAGGACAGCAGGATCCACCTCTGCCAGGCTCCTAATCAATGCCCAGCAAGGGCAAAAATTATAAGAACAGTATTTTAATTCTTTTTGTATTAAAAAAAATTAAAAAATTAAGAAGGTGTTCATGGGTACTTGATGGGGTGGGGAGGTTTAACTGCTCCTGCAGTAGCTCAGCCCACCTTGTTCTGAGACTGCTTTGTGTCCTCGTGCAACTCTGCAGCAGCTGAGTGCTGATCTCTGGCTTGTTCTGTTCCAACTGAAACCTGATGAAATTCCCACTAATTACAGGGTTTTATTTTTACACGTGTTGTGATTTTTTAGGGCCAAAATAATTTCATCCAGCTCCATCTACTCTCCATTAGGAGACTCTGAAGCTCAAGCAGGACAGATCCTGCCATCCTCACCAGGTTTCTCCCCAAGCTGGGCATTGCCACCATCCCAGTGCTGCATTTGCTATTCCAGTGCTCAGAATGGGCACAAATGAAAACCATTATCCAAGCAGAGTTTTCCACCATCTCACAGCTAATGACCATACACCACCCTGCTGCATCTTAACAGCCTCAAGTTCTTATTTTCTTCAAGCTTGATTTCAGGGCTCCGGGCTGCATTCAATTGCTACTGAATCCGATTTATTATTTACATTGCGAGGTACAGCCTGGCATGAATTGATTTGCTGTGCTCTGATTGCCACTGCACGCTGCTCTGAGATCTGGGAGCTGGTTGCTCACACAGCCAGGCGGCAAAATCAGGAGGAAATGCCAGAGTTCAAACTGCTCGGACATGCCAGTGCTCTGTGTTCTGCTCTCACCTTTGGTTTCACCTCTCAGGATACAAGGAGTGCTGCTCCCAGTGGGGGTGGTGGGTTGGATTAACTGATGCCCCTCAAGGGTTGTTATCCTGGTGCTGCAGAGATCAGATGATTTAAATTCACCCCTTACTGAAGAAGAGAGTTTTGGGGAGCTGGAGAGGGCAAGTGACACTGGTTTTTAGGACGGAGCCATGGATAGGAGTGCAGAACCGATGGAGAGAGCAGAAAGGAGGTGGAATAACAGAATTGGAAGGCAAATGGGAGACCTGGTGTTTTGGGAGATTTAGCAGGCCTTTACCTTCATCACCACTTCATTTTTATTTCCATTATCACCTTCAGCTTTACCTTTGTCTTTGCCTTTGCCTTCACCTTCATCATTGCCTTCACCTTCATTTTTGCCTTCACCTTCACCTTCACTCCTTACCCTGCCCATGGTTGGAGCTTGCACTACTTGGGTGGCAGGAATGAGTGAAAATCCCCCAAACCCAAGCCTGTGACTCCAGGGCAGTGATGACCAGAGGCAGCAGCTTTGCTGACAGCTCAGCTGTTGGACATGAACCTGGAACAGTGGGCTGGAGGGCAGGACCATGGACATGCTGCCCTTGGCACAGGGACCCCCCCTCACCCAACTCATCCAGTGGCCCAAATCACTGGGCACCTTGGGAAACATTGGTCCATCTGCCAGAGCTCTTGACTTTGGACATTGCTGGATGAAAAGACAATTTTAAGGAATGCCATTTGGGCAG